GCCAAGAATTTCTCTTTTTTTGGCATACGAGATTAGTTCTATTTTCAATGGTGCTGTTCTTGATTTTCCGAGAAGATGGAAATCAGAAATGTCTGTTTTTTCTATATTCACCTCAACCCGCTTTCCAATTTCCGAACAGATGAAGTCTGCAGAGATCTCTGTTGAAGGTTTATTTATTCCGAAGATGACTATATTTCGTTTGCGTGATGTTCTGTCCAGATTTTCAATTTCAGTCTTAAGCTTTTTATTCTCTTCTTCGAGCTGTTCAATTTTCAAAGTCTGCTCATTAATCTTATTCAATAATTTCTTCTCGGTGGAATCTATAGCACCCTTGAGATCATTTCTGGCTCCTTGAATTTCTTCCAGTATTCGTCTAGAACTCTCCTCTATAGCCTTTTTTATTGCTTCATTCATCATTGACATTCGATGTTAATTTTTACCGTGTGAGATCTCCTTAACTGAAGTAACTTTTTACTGGCGAATGAGTGACAAAAAATTATTGTTTTCAGTGTACCTGTCCAATTTATCAGCGAGCCCAGATGATTCAAACTCTAATTACTACTGAATAATCGAATGTAATACATACAGTTTTTATATCAGGGTGCACTTTGTGTTCGTATACAGCTGTGCTATAACTTTCAAATAGGTTGTTGCACTTGTCTCACCGAATTTCTACACTTTTTTCAGGAGCACACATAAAACAGTTCGTTCTACTTCACACGTACATATTATTGTACGTGTGAAGTAGAACGATCCATATTGATCCATATCCAAATGGGACCCTTGAAGATGAACAACAGGCAATAAAATGTTCATTCCTGGGACTCTTAAGCTGCACAATGTGGATTTTTTTTACTCACTGTCATAAAATTCTGCCCCATCACAAGTGCTAGAATTATTGTTCCTGATACGCCTGACTTTATGAGGAAAGAATAAGAATAGTTCCGATTCACTAATAGGGGTGTGGAAGTCAATTGTATCGAATTTGTTACCAAATTCTTAGCATCACATCAAAACTATACTCATTTGTTGACTCCTGTGTAAACGAGTTTTCAGAATTCCAAAACTCGAAATTGATTGTAAAAGTTAGATTATGAACAAATATTGTTTTTACCGATGGGACCCTTGAAGATAAACAGCAGGAAATAAAACATTCATTCGTCCTTCTGTATACTCTGGCCCGACCATCATTATCGAAAATAGTAAATTCCAAAGGTCACATTATTATATTCATCATAAAACCCATTCTTGTACACGGTCGTTACAAAGTAGTGATCCTTTAATTCCTTTGAGGAGTATACATTCTATGTCGGTTCTAGGTCGGTCGGTAACCGCCGCAGGCTAAACGCTCGATTTTCACTTGCTATCGTCCAACCCGTGTTAGGAATCACATGTTAAAAAGTAAGACCTCGTTGAACAGATTTTGAGTGTTGAACATATATTAACCGAAAGCCTTCTATACCATTATAGTTTAATATTGCTCGTTTACTCAAAGAGAAAATTTTAATACTGTTACATCTAATATAGCACTATCATATTTGTAACACTGAACCTACGCTAATAACCCTACGTGATTGAAGCGTATTTGTTTAAATAAAAAAAAATCTTTCGAGAAAACCTAATAATAATGGTTGATTCGTTGTTCATGAACATATCGCTTGACTTGAAATGTTTGTTTCAAAAATGTTATTCATGTACAATTGAAAGTGTTAAAAATTTCTTATCTCGGAAATTACCATATCTATGAAATTGTTTATTAGGTAGGTATGGAATATAATTAAAAACTAATGGTCTGATAATCTCAAACGTAACATATCACAACTAGTGCATGAAAATATTGCTTCATATGATTGTACTGAGTGGAGATTATGAATTATATGGAAGAATTAACCGTTGAATTTCTTCAATCAAATAGTGATACGCGATTCATTGCATGAGAATAATGTTGCCGTATCAACGGAAGAAAAATTTCCCTAGCTTTTTTGAGAGTACTTCTCATGAAAAACCCCAATTCCCACATCTTTTTCAAGTAAAAATGGTACACTTCCTCAAAAACGCTGGAGATGATCGTTTTCGAGATATTTACAATTTTCTATATCGATACATATTACTGATTTTCTAGGGCGCTAAATGAGGTGATTGAGAACATTACAAAAATTAAGTATGTGGTGAATCTCGTCAAAATAAACAACTTTTTTTTTCTTTTTGAGATACACGTTGTTGAAATTTTTCAAAACATGGTTGGTTTTGGTTATTTGCAATTTTAATTATTTGTATCCCAAAAGCGAATGATTTTTTGATAAACATTTTATCGGAAAAATTTGTTTATTGTGACGATATCCAACATATACTTAGTTTTTGAAATGTTTTCAGCAACTTCATTCAACACCCTAGGAGCCAAGTAATATGCATGAATATTGAGGAAGTGCACCTGTTTTTGCTTGGGAAAGGTGTGGGAATTGAGTTTTTTTATGAAAAGTGTCAAAAGTTTACTGTGAAAAAATTTAGGGCATTTTGAAATAAAAAATTCTATTTCAACACCCTGTAGGTACATCCGAAACAGATCATTTTTTTTTCTCAAAATTGTCTCAGGAATACGTCACTTGAATATTTTAACGTACTTATCTCACAACCTGTATATATAAAAATGAACAAAGCTAAATCAGTAGAGAATATACTGAAGTGTAAGAAAGGACAAACTGAAAAGTTCACGTTAGTCATATTCCCTATTGATTCAGCTTTGTTTATTTTTCAGATTTTGGAAGGTTGTATACCCAAAAAACAGTGAGAAATATTGATTCTTCCCCAAAAAATGTTTGTCAAAATATTCATTAGTATTTCATTAATTTTAATTTCATTTTTTCGTAGATTCCAAACCTTTCCATACAATTGAATTGCATACCTTAGACATTCATAAATTATATTTTACGAATGGGCGAGTATGTCTTTATATATTTCTTTACTGACAAAGAAGTTTCAATAGTGAATTCTGAACATTTTGAAAAACGTGTGCAATCAATTTCCAATTTTTTATGAGCTACTAGAAGAGCTAATCACCATCATATAACAGAAAATTGTCTCTCTCCTATCCTTTTGTTAGATGTTTCATTTTCACTTGATATTTGAGTTTTTATGACTACGTTGGATTCGATTTTCACGTATTGCCATGTTGTCTGAGATGCCAACAACAATTCTTTCGTTTCCTATGAAAGAAGACTACACCACTGAATACTTCGTGAATCACATTCAGACAAATATGATTTCATAATTGCACTTTCAGCATTATGTCCATCTTTTCAAGATGAAATGGAATTATTAACATTATTACCCAACTTCCGATGAATAATGCAATACATTTATTCATCCAACCGTGTAGCTAGCTCAAAGCTATAAATAAAATATTGTAAGGATTTAATATAATGCTGGTCACATTTCACGAACGATCAGCATTCTAAATATATCCTGTTTGTGTATAGGAGAAAGACTGTCGACAATATCGAACTTGAGTCTATATTATCGAAATACAAAAAATGATTCGACAAGACATAGCATCGAAGTTTGACCTGCAAACTCTCATGTCACACACGGTCGAAGGCCTTAGAAATATCAAGCGCAACAGCTCTTTATTCTCCATGTTTCTCGATTGCGTTGTTCCCAAAAGCCATATTGATGATCGCTCAAGTTGTTAAAGCCTTCCGAGTATTCGAGAATATGGTGGTTTTCGACTTTCTCCATGATTTTTTATATCACTGATAGCAAAGCGACTGGTCTATAGTTATTTGAAAGATTTGTCTTGCGCTTTTTGGGAACAGCTTGAACGCGAGCAATCTTCCAACAAGAAGGAAAAACTCTTTTCTTGTATCTTGATTTTCACCCCCTCAGACGACCCGGAGAACTGGGAGGTGAAGTTCATATTGTTCAATTGATCAACAGGAGTAATATGTCTCAATCTTGTAGATGTATAAGGTCAATTTTCTATGCAACGAATTTTCAAAATGTTTCCACTCTATTTTCAATCTTTCACACTTTCCGAAAAACTAGTTACATTCCACTCATTTTTCTGTCAGTTAATTTTGTGCAGTAACTTCACAACCGTATCTAACCTTCACCCTAATTTTACCCCGGCGTACGCCTGTACTGTGCCAGTACCGCGTTTCTAGGTCGCAAACACTGTTGCCACTGCACAATAATTGATGTCAAATCGGAATTGTCATCGTTTTGATGCAGTGTCCTGAATCTCTATTTCGTTTACTACCTACTGTGTCCACTGTAAAGCCTCACATGTACCTGAAATTTTCCCAGATTGGCTTTCTAATGAAATAAACCCATATATCTCTAATCAATATTTAGATGTAAACATGAGATCGAGCGGCAACATCGTAAGGAAGTTTACGTCGTTCGTTCTGCAGTTCTCGTTTCGTGATTGTTCGTTGTTCTATCGTTATAAACAGTAACCTTCCGAGTGTGAATGAATAGTGTAACTTTAGTTAGGTTATGTGGGAAATATCAGAGAAAGAAATCGTGTAGATGGATTTGTTTCTTGATGAGAACTTGAATAATCACTTTTATGAACCAGGAAAATACTGACTCACTGTTCGTGTTCAGCATTAATATCCATAATAGTTTTCTATTATCAGCAAAGGTAAGTCGGACTCTTATGAATAACAAATAACATAGGCGTACTTAGAATTTTTATGTAGGTGAAGGAAGTGTAACATACGTTTCAGTAGGAATTGTGAAAGATTAGTTGAAGCTGCACATTTTTTTGAAAGAGTCTCTCGAAAGGAAAATACTGACTCATTGTTCGTGTTCAGCATTAATATCCATAATAGTTTTCTATTATCAGCAAAGGTAAGTCGGACTCTTATGAATAACAAATAACATAGGCGTACCTACTTAGAATTTTTATGTAGGTGAAAGAAGTGTAACATACGTTTGAGTAGGAATCGTGAAAGATTAGTTGAAGCTGCACATTTTTTGAAAAGAGTCTCTCGACAAGGCAGTAAAAATTTTCAATTGAATTTGATCATTATATAAAAATATAAATGGATTAACATTCATGGATGCTTTTCTTGGATTATTTGTGTGGAAACAGTTTGATTTTATTGAAATTAGTAGGAGACGTTTGCAAATTTCATAAAAAATACAATTTTTGTTGTCCATGAGCTGACGACGAATTTATATAAAGTGTTTTAGGCAACCCTAAAAAACATGCTACCTATATCAATTTCATTACATCGTAAAATCAGGTTCTGAAAGGAGACGCTTGCGGTTATTGTGCAGCAAATATTTCGAAAAATACCTGTTGTGATACCCATTATATTTTTTGACCAAATAAGTAACGTATTATTGTAAAATTTTCACTGAAAAGTTTGCAATACCCCCACACGTGTTTTAATATACAGTAGGTCCTTCAGGCGTATTCAATAACACTAAGTAAACAACTTTATTCAATTCGAATTGTTTCTGCATTCAATAATGATTTCTTATGTATTTCTTGGTACCAAGTATTATTTTGAATGTTTCTTCATAGGATTGCTTTGGTATTCCATCGTCTAAAAAAGTATTAACAAATTTGAAATCTCAGAGAAGACGAATCAATGAAATATTAAAAATGCTGGGATCGGCACTTAGTAAAGTAGTTCAAAAAAATTTAAATGATATCCAAAAAGAGTTTGAAATATGAAAGTATAAAAACTTTAATTGTTAAAGACAGCAAATTATTGACACCTGAAATGAAAAATTATTATCAAAATGTGTTATATTATTATTAACGGAAAAACAGACAGACATATTTCTCAATGAAATGTTTCTGAACCAATCAGGCATGACCTCAAGTGTGTTTCAGTAATTTTGGGAAAAGTGAAATTAATTAAAACCGTCGATTCATTTCAGGATCTGAATTATCTAATCAGTTTTAAATATGTTGTTCATGTCAATATCTGTATCTGTACCATATCATTTGTATTACTAGTTGCACTAGAATAACTCTTTGTCAATCCAAATTGTGTAATGTATTGTTATAGGAATATTCTGATCAGGAATTAAGATGGATGACTTGAATAAGAAATCTTTTCCGTCGTCCCTCATGAAAGTAAGCCGTGAGAGTACCCGGGACAATACAAAGAAACTAGTTTCGACAAGTGAAGACGTAAATGAAACAATAGATATCACATTCAAGGAAGAAGTAATTCACAGAACTGATTCTGAGACTGATACGAATAGTGAAAATGAGCAAGGATCTGCAAAACGTAGTACACGGTAAATATATAAATATAGGGTGACTTGTATTTTAGAATTATTAAAAACATTTCAATTTGACGATATTGGAATCCAAAGTAAAATAATAATGGGCAATACTGTTTACAGTAGCACTACAATTTGAGATTTTTCAAGTTATGAACTCTATTATTGCCTACTGTGAACATGTTTGAACTTGATTTCGCTTGACAGTGTTACAGTATCAAACACAACTGTTTCCTTTCCCTTCACACACGCCCGTCATCGTACTTTGTTATAGCCAACTTTCAAAGTACACATTTTGGTATGCATACAACAAATAGTTCGAATATTTCGAGTATTTATCCGTTCTCCGTTTATTTACCATTTGAAATTTTCTCTACTCTCTAATGTATGTCACATGAACATGTTATTATCACAAAACTATGAGAATAATCGTGCTTAATTGTGTCATTAGATGAATTGAGCCATTATATTTTCAAATTATTTGGAGAAATGAGCGGATCAATATTTTTACAGAAAGCAAGAGCGCACTAGGGGCTCTGACAAACCCGAAGGTGACATCAAAACTGGTCTGGGAATGCCATGAAGAACTGAATGAACTTGCAAATAGGAACAAATTAACTTTGTACTGGGTGCCAGGGCATTCAGGGATCACTGGTAATGATAAAGCTGATGAATGCGCTAGACGCGGATCATCAACTTCACATATANTACGACGTGGAGCTGTTGAATAGTGCAGTTTCCAACCGACTCGCTCTTTGGGATAAAAGTCTCGACATTAATAAGGACCCAAATGAAGTCGTGAAAAGTTGGATGAAAGTCTGTAAGGTGCTCGACATAGATTTTGCAACTTTATCCATCCTATTCTTGATCGTTGACGTTTCTGTCGTCGAGGTTTGTGTCGACCTCAAGGAGCCAGGAACTAAAAAGCCTCCCGGTCTGAATGGGCGATAGGTAGGAGTGATAAACGCTCCCGTATTGGAGCGAGAGATGCGAAGCTCCCCGTGTGAAAGAGTCCCAACTGGCACCCGATATTTTTTGAACTTGTTGTTTTTATTTTTTCCCAGTTTACACTATAAATGAAGTGTAAAAAGTAAAATAGGTCGAACTAATAATTTCGCTCAGAAAGTATCATAATCACTCTGTAACTGTTAGAATTCATAAATGTAGCTCTCTAAATGAGATGAAACTAATGAAAAAATAATTTCACTCAGCTTTTGTCTGAAAATTGGTTGACGTTTCGGAAAGCTGAAATCATGCTTATTGGAAAGTTTCAGAATATTTTTACAATTTTTGAAGAATGTAAATTTCTGTAAACACTGAATTTAGGTTCAGAAAGAATTCAGTATATATAGTTTGTTTTCATTACATTGAGATCCTCAGTTGATTTGTTTGCCTTTGCTTTTTTTAGGGGTTTTCTAGATGGTAGATATAGTCCTGAAATTAAACCCTACTCTATTGAAACTGTTTCTCAGACGCAGCTGGTTGAGTTGGAGTCGACGAATCATGTATAATACACATATCAGTTTCTTATTTTATATGATTCAAGAGTGTTCTCACATCCAGTATACAGGAGTCTCTTTTAGTTCACTTATCATTTCAAATCTTCATATTTCAAAGGCATTCTCGATATCACTTATTTTTTCAAGACCCTAAATTATTGTTTCTTGGATTATTGCAGGATTACGACTACTTTCGTTCGAAAGATAATTATATTTCGAAACTTTCGGCCCATATTCAATTTTTATCTGTTTGTATTTCTGGTATACAATTTCTCTGGATCTCACTTCACTGTTTGCGATTTTGGCCGTCAAGTTTGGATCGCAAGCATACTTCAGTATCAAGTGGACCTTCATAGTCTGAATTACCCATTTTTTTGCATTCAGGTAGATTCAAGATTGTCTTCATGCGGCTATTGGTGAAATTTCTATGCTACTGTTACTCGAAAATGAAAAGTGTTCGCACTCCTACTTAGTTTGTTGATAAGAAGTCATTCATTTACCTTTGCTCTCCAAACCAAAGATACATGAGTGATCATGGAGTCAACCACCAACCAGACATGTAGCTTGCCAACTCGATATTTTTTTATCAATTCTAGATATTGGCTACAGGTCAGTCTGGGATGTTAAGGCATTTTCATATATTTGATCTCGCCAATTGTAACTCTCCGCCTGGAAGTTCCCAGGTCCCCCGTTAAGCTCTTCTTCCTTTGCTTGTCTTGTTGAAATGTTCAAGATCTGCTGCATGCCGCTGAATTTGCCCAACACTAGGATTACTAGATCTACATATGTTGGTATTTTGTGCCCAATCATTTCTCGTTCCTCAATCAATTGAATCCAATTATAAAAAGTTAGAAGCACAATGCTGTTCAGAAAATATCAAATCCTCTATAGGAAAATTTGAATTGACGGTTCTAGATATTGTTCATAGCTTAAATCAGTCAATTTAATTTTTTTTTCTTCAGGGATATTTCTGGAATGAGACGTTACATTGGAGATTTTCAAATAAAGGATATGGAAGATCCCGCCAAAGCTAAACAATATTGGTTCATTTCTCGTAAACGTATGAAAGAATATAGGAAAAAAGTTCGAATGCTAAGTCAGTACTCTAGAAGACTCAGCAACAAAATTGCTTACCAAAAAACTCTGCTGGATATGGCGAAAGACGAGGACGAAAGCAATTTGCCTCATTTGCTTCCTGAGGCATTGGAAGCGGCGAAAAAGAAGACGATATGGGTGATTAAAAGTGGAGTTTGATTTTGAAGAATTGTAGAATAGTCATACACAATACGAATGTAAATTTTGAAACAGTGTTTTAAATAAATTAAAAAACTTCTAAGAATTTTATTTTCTATTGGAGGATACTAAAGTGTTTACTATATGGTTCTTTATTCTTGAGAATAATTTTCTTGGAGGAAACAAGATATTCACTTAGTGATTGAGTTTAAATACTTAAATACTTTCTTTACTTGAGCTTTAGGTCAGTTTAGCAGATGCTCAAAATGGTTGCCTTGAACTCATTGACATATGAACAGCCTATCTGAGATTTCACATTTTCAAACGGAGAACCCTGAATATCTCTACAAATATTTATTATTCTCTGCCGTAAATCCAATTTTGAAGCAGGTTCAGTTTCGTACACCTTTTGCTTCAACCAGCCCCATAAAAAAGTCCAAAGGTGTCAAATCTGGCGAGTGGGCTGGCCATACTGTAGGTCCTCGACGGCCAATCCAACGACCGGGAAAAGTAGTATCCAAATTGTTTCTTACTTGTCTGGAGTAATGTGGTGGTGCTCCATCTTTTTGGAATACAATATCCATATCGAATTCATTGGGAGCCTCTTCGAGTGTGAGTCCGTCACTAAAAAATAAATATAAATTTGGAAAGGCAGTAGTCATAAGGACTGGCGTTGCATTTCCTCAACGCTCTTAACTGCGCAACAAAATCACATGACTATTGAATTTTGAAGTTTTCAAATGATCACTAATGAATAATTGAATCAATTGCCTATTGAATACAAATGAAAGATCATTAATTCTTATTAAAAACAATGGAAAAATTCTACTTACACTAACACAGAACGATCAACTGTCTGAGAAAAACTCCAGTTCTAGACCAAACATTCATACCAACCTACAATTAGTGCATTTACCACCTACACTGTTGCCATTTTTCGAAACAATATTGATATATTAGGTTACAATATTCCTTTGAACTATTACAGTTATGAGTTGCGTTTTCGCAACGCTAGTTGCAGAATTTATGTAGTTTCATCGAAATCCGTTCAGTCGCTTTATCCAATTGTTTTACGGATTCGTGCTTTCTTGGTGCTTATTGTTCTCATGATATTCCTAAATAACAAAGTTTTTGTTAAGAAATACAAAATTATCGAAGAATATTGAGATCTTGCGGTATAAATTTCGAATGAACTTGGTTCACTTGGAATATAACCCTTGATAAAATTAAGCAAAAGCCTTCTGAATCACTTTTGTTTACAACCTTTGATGTTTACTCGAATCAGTTTGAACTTTATCTCCACGAAAATGGGAATATTAATACCAGGCACAACCTTATTTGAATTGTTTCAGCAACGAAGTGGTAAAAGAATTTAAATTGCAAATAGGACTATTGTAATTTTGTAGGTAGAGAACAGGTTTAAACACTTTTATATAACGGAAGTAAACAATAACGAGTTTATGTTTGTTGACTTTTGCTGTGTTGTTTGCTGTGATAATATTTCCGTACAAGGAAAATTTATTCAGTTTCAACATAGCTTTGTGATGTTTCCATACTGAAAATTAGTGGAAACAGTTTTTAACAAAAACTGTGTTATTTAGCAATATCATGAGAACAACAAGCATGATAAAAGGTTGAATCCGTAAAACGAGTGAATAAAACGACTGAACGGATTTTGATGAAACTTTACATAAATACGGCTTACAGTGGCGTAGCCTGGGTATCGGCTGCCCGCTCTCTGGATTAGAATTAGATATTTTAACTTTGAATACTACACATTATATGTATTAATTCTAGAGAACTTTTCGGCAAGAATAGTCATCATTATTTTGCATTATACTGGTTAGATTTTAAATAAAAATTTTTATTTGTTTCACAATCACGTTTATTAATACAAAAATTTTTACTCCAACCATTGATATAACAGGTACATAGGTATTATTCAATCGACATGATTAAATAATTAGTGAATTGAATATAAAACAAAAAGAAAATTTTAATTACAACTAGGATAATACTATTGAGTAATATTTATATCTTTTTAAAAACAAAACCTTCGACTTTAGTTAAAAATGTATACGTCCACTTTTTTTTAAGAGCAAAGTCTTTCATTGCACCATCAATGTCTATAGGATCACACACCTCTTGTTCAATAGACAAGATAGCCAAATTTGTTATTCTTAGAGTAGTCATTGTCGACCTTAAATAATTTTTAAATAATTTCAATTTTGAAAAACTTCTCTCACATCTGGCATTGCTTATGGCAACTGTAAAAAATATTCCCAGCTTATATTTTACAATGAACTTCAATGATTCAAGTGAGTCTGCATTAATTGATTTATTTTCGTTGCCTGTAACGAAAGTCCGCAGTCAAAGTTGTTCCAGCTTGAAATCCTGCTCGTCAATTTCAACAGATGCCTCGTCTAGATTACATTTAGTGCTGTCTGAATTGTCAAAGCATCACGTACTTTCTCAAAGTGACGTAATAAACAATATTGAACTTAATATACAGGGCTATTCAAATTCGTTTATGTACATTGGGATCTCGTAAACGATAAGAGATAGAGTATCGGTTAACTTGTGGCAAAGTTGCGTATTTTGGAGACCTATTGAATAATGTAAAAAAATCGAATATAGCTCTTTTGGTTCTAGAGATATACAGGAAAAACCAAAAAATCCCAAATTATTTTTTTGCCTATCTCTTCTTTATTGAGAAGATATAGACATATTGAAAATCTGTCCACATTTTGCTATTGGCACTTGATGTGGGCTCTCAGAATATATCCATGAATCTCTTATACAGGGTGTCATCTAACTTGGGCCACCCCCATCTTTGAATTTTTAAATACGGACCTGTATTTTTTGTTGTAGTTTTTGGATCATAGACGTTTACTTCATACTGAGAAATTAAATTCAATTTTATATTTCGGGATTTTTCGGTAATATTCGATTATAATTGTGTGAGTTATTCCCTTTTAAATTACGGCCTTGGAAATATGTTGACTGAGTTGAATAAAAACACTATAGCAACTTTCACGTCTCCCTATGTACCGTAGAGTTTTTCGAAAGTTTTTTTCCATCTTTGAGTACCTATTAATATTTCTTCCATTGCTCTGAGCGTTTTCTACAATGAACTTCGAATAAGAAAACCTTTTATGATTATTTGAAACATATCTACATCAAAAATATATTATATGTGTTTCAATAAGCAGAAAAAGAAATGATAGCAATAATAACATCCGAAACGAACACTATAATTGTAATGAAAATAGAAATGAAGTAATTTATGTAGGTACCCAAAACATTTTTTGTTACAATAAATGTTCGAATTGGAGTCCTTTCATTTCGAGACATTTTCAAACTCGGTTTTTCATATTATTTATTGCCCTTATAACACTTATTTACTCGAAATGGAAGGACTTCAATTCGAACATTTATTGCACAATTAATATTTTTCTGTATACCGGGTGTCAACGAATCTATTAGACAAGTCATAATTTCTAGACTATTAGGAGAATTGAAATGAGATTTGGTATAGTTGAATGGTATGTGGAGAGGAATGTTTTCACACATTTTTCACTTTCCGGTCACTTCCGGTTTCAGCGGAAATGGCTCCGGTTCTGAATTTTTAAATGGAACACCCTGTATATTGTAACATAAAAGAGAATCATGTGTGAAAATGAGACGCGTCAGTGTGGCTCAACTACTCATTGGCTGAATAGATCCGTTCCTTCAATCATACAATTGATCTATTTCAACTTCCAGTCCATCTCAGTTATAAATTTCTCTCGTTCCTGTTTAATTTGTGACCATTATAATCATTTTATATGTGGGTGCTTACCTTCACCTGTTTCACCAGGTTTCTTGTGTGAGCCATATTTTCGTCCATTTTGAATTGGGATATTTGCATATAGTTTGGATCTCACAGGTCAGTTACTCAGTTATAGTTGGCTTCAGTCCATTGGTCGTTGTCAACATTTTCTTGCTATCTTTTTGCTCGTTTTCTTATTCATTACCCATTTTCCTTCATGCTTCACTCTCACCAATATTTTTGCAGATTTTCGTGACCTGTGGTGAGATGGGTGTCCCTTCAATTCTGGTGTATCGGAAAAGTATTTTCTCAAGTCAATCGATCTAAATCTATACCTTGTGAGGAATTAATTTAATTTATCTCTTGATGCTAACTCAGCGAAGCGCGCGTCAAAAAAAAGTACTTTAGTTCTGCTCTGAATAAATATGTGGAAATGTTACGCACTTTCGAATTGTCACCACACTGACCCTTGACCTGGAAACTATTTCTTCATATTTTGTCGGGTTCAATCAATATCTGATCAGGCTTCTGTTATCATCTTCATGAAAACATTTCTGGGGATTTTGTTGAAACGAATTCAGTATCTAAAGTTCCAAATTATTGGGTATGATTATATTCCTGAAAGCCAATGGTTCTGCTCTGAATGAATACATAAAAATAATATCCATTTTTGAATTGTTACAACAGTGACTCTCAACTTATCGCTTGATGTTTCGTCGTGTTCAACCAGAATCTGATCAGGCTTATCATCTACATGAGATCTAAACTTCTAACTGGCTACATCATCTTATGTTATTTCTTCAATTATTCTCCAATTCATCTCTATTTTGAATTTTTCTTATTTCTGGGATCGATCTGTAAAGACGTTATTTATCTAATTTGTGTTTGTTATAATCATTTCAAGTTTTTATTCTCAGTTTCAACTGTTCCATCAGAAACAGGATGCATTCTTTTTCTTTTTAATACCCATCACTCAGTTTATTGGTGTGAACCATATTATCTTCTATCTTTCAGTTCGGTACTCTGTTATGGTTGGCTTTAGTCACTTGGTCTTCGTCAACGTTTTCTCGATATCTTCTTCCCTAATTCAGTTGCCTTTTTTATCACCCACTTTTATTTCTTGCCCACTGTTAATCATATTTTTGTGAGTCTCTGTGACCTGACCTGTAGGGAGACTTGTAACCGTGTGTGAGAGAGTAAAGCTTTCCCCAGATACATTTACATTATGTTCTTGTGTTCTTTTTTTTCTGCATATCTATATTGTAGACCATGGTAATGCTTAGTTACTTTTTTTTGGAACCAGTGGATAAATGATTCATTTTTCTCGCATCAACTGCTTCATTGCTAATTACATTGCATTTATTCGACAAAATTTCCTTTCTAGTACTAGTTTCATCAGTGCCGTCAAGACGGTGATTACATTTTTCATTCAGATCCAGCGGTTTTTGGTTTATCTATCCTTCCACCATATTGTTTTTCTATCTTCAAAGTTATTCGAATCTTCTCTTTTATTTCAACTTATTTCTGGGATCGATCTGTAAAGACGTTATTTATCTAATTTGTGTTTGTTATAATCATTTCAAGTTTATATCCTCAGTTTCAACTGTTCCATCAGAAACAGGATGCATACTCATTCTTCCTGATACCCATCACTCAGTTTGTTGGTGTGAACCATATTCTCTTCTATCTTTCAGTTCGGTACTCTGTTATGGTTGGCTTTAGTCACTTGGTCTTCGTCAACGTTTTCTCGATATCTTCTTCCCTAATTCAGTTTCCTTTTTTATCACCCACTTTTATTTCTTACCCACTGTTAATTATATTTTTGTGAGTCTCTGTGATCTGACCTGTAGGGAGACTTGTAACCGTGTGTGAGAGAGTGAAGCTTTACCCAGATACATTTACATTATGTTCTTGTATTCTTTTTTTCTGCATATCTATATTATAGGCCATGGTAATGCTTAGTTACTTTTTTTTTAGAACCAGTGGATAAATGATTCATTTTTCTCGCATCAACTGCTTCATTGCTAATTACATTGCATTTATTCGACAAAATTCCCTTTCTAGTACTAGTTTCATCATTACCGTCAGGACGGTGATTACATTTTTCATTCAGATCCAGCGGTTTTTGGTTTATCTATCCTTCCACCATATTGTTTTTCTATCTTCAAAAACCCTGTAATGTCTGAACACCTACCAACTACTCAGAAATTCTGGAGATCCGCACAACTGCGGATCAACTGTTACAACTGTTGTTGTAACTATCTGTTAGACGAAAACTTTGTCAAATCATTACACTAATTTCCATGTTCAATTTTGCCAACCAAACTATCCTTCCACCATTTTGTTTCTTTATCTTCGAAGTTACTTGAACCTTCTCTTTTATTCCACTTACAGGAAATTAAAAACCCTGTAACTTCTGAGCACCTATCAACTACTTTGAACTCGGAAATCCTGTAGATCCGCACAACTTGTGTTGTTGAAACTATCTGTTAGACGAAAACATTGTCGGATCATGACCCCAATTTCCATGTTACAATTTTCCAACCAAACTATTTAAACTATTTATGAACACTTATTCACTCTCCAGGTTTGCATGCAGCAGCGGGAGTTAACCCTTCAGAGAGCGTGAAGTTTCCGTCGACCTACTACTTTCTTCCTCACTTGCTGGACGACCCGAATAGCTTAAAGTTGGGTTACTTGATGTCCAGAAACCGAAACGGAGTTTCCCTAGTGATGGGTGTTCCTACGGTTCGAAGGGAGAAGCAAAGTTACCTCATGGACACACTGCAGAATCTCGTAGATGGTCTCACTGAAGAAGAAGCTAATGATTCTCTCATAGTTGTTTTTGTTGGAGAGGTAGGACTCATTTTCAGACTTAACAACTTCATGATATCTCACATTGTCCTATGAAAAGTATCTGCAGCTATCTTGAGATTCCAGTAGAAGTTTTCCAAACATACAATGTAATCGGAATCCAACACTAGGCAGCACTGTTTCAACTAACCATAGATCTTACTAGTAGTAATGCATTGCAATGGTAGTCTCAAATATCCTTGAAAGGAAAGCTCGAGTAAATGAAGGCCACAAAAATGCTACCTATAGAATCGACAGAAGCTTCATTTCACGAATGTCTAAGGTAAACGAGGCTCTCCAAGACGATCCATTTGAAGAGCCTCCTTAATTTTTGACATTTGTCACCTCAGGAATGCTTTGTTTCTTGGTCCTTCTTCGAACAGGTTGCCTTGCAATAGAATCTGCACCGAAGGACAAAGGAATAATCTTGTTCGGCAGTTGATGTCGAAGTTTGTAGATTGAGTGTATTGTCGATCCTATAGATGACGGATCACCTTCATTTGTTTTTCTTAATCAGTATACATTCATTCGACGTCAATTTTATGTAACACTATTCATGCTAATGATCATAAATGTTTACAGTACATATAGATTATATTCCTGAAACGCGTGTCAGTCCAACAGAGAAAACTATAGAGTCTTCCAATAGACACTTCCAAACTTTGACATTTGATAACGGCCCTCTTGTTGAAGTTACATCTGTTAAATTGGTTGTCACTAATTCAGTCTATTTTGCCGAATCACCATGAATGAATATATCATTCAGCAACTCGTGCATATAAAAAAATTTTCACATATAGTCAGTGGGCATACTTGAAGACTGGCTATAAATCAAATTATCTATGAACGATTCGTTCAGGCCAGTCTCAACTCTCTACACAGTAGGTTAATGGACTGACACACCTACTCCCCTGGCTAATACCAGGAAGGGCGTTCGATTATATCCGACAGGTGTCACTTCTGTGAAGAGATTCTTCACAGAAGTTATTCCTGCATACTGTTGGCGATACAACTGCCGCAATAGATTTTCAATTATTGGAACACACTTGCAGACCGGTTTCGGGCTGTTTGGCCACTCGTCAGTGCAAGGTAGTGTACATCATCAACATAAAGTCGATGATTTCCGATAATTGAAAATCCTGCATATGCAGGAATAATTTTTGTGAAGAATCCTGGCCTAAACGAATTGTTCATAGATAATTTGATTTATAGCCAGTCTTCAAGTATGCCCACTGACTATATGTGAAAGTTTTTTTTCCTTATACGAGGAATTGGGCAAATTTCGGATATGCAGTTGGTTACCTCGTTCACAGGTAGATGGGGCGACGACAAACCTGTTGTTTGTTGTAACCTTCAGTTTAGTTCGAGGAATGATACTCTGAAAGAATTCCGATTTTCAATTATGGAATATCATTGGCACATTGACCTTAAGTCGAATGGCTAATGAGCCCGAAACCGGTCTGCAACTGTGCCCGTTCCAAAACTGAAGGTCGGTTCTTTCAGTTGTATTGCCAATTGCATATGCAGGAAATTTTCTGTGAAGATTCCTGCACTGACGCCTGTCGGATATAATCCAACGCCCTTCGTGGTAATAGCCAGGGGAGTAGTTCTTTTCTGATAAGTGTCAGTCCAATAACCTACTGTGTAGGGAGTTGAGACTAACCTGAACGAATTGTTCATAGATAATTTGGTATAATAAAATTGTTTTATCTAAATGGGTGTTTTGTTCGGGCAACGTACCGCACGCATTTTATATTCGATATAGTCGTCCTACCAAAAGGGCTACGATTACCTTTTATATTTCGGGATTAGAGAACAAAAAACAAATATTGATCATCGAATATCACTTTATTGTTTTTCAAAATATTCCCCATGAAGATCTATACACTTTTGCGTGCGATTGAACCAATTGTCGAAGCATCTTCGCCACTCTGATTGAGGTATCTCCAAAACATGCATTCTGAATGCATTCTTCAGGTGTCGAAAAACGTTGACCTCTCAGTTTGTTTTTTACGTGCGGGAATAAAAAGAAGTTTATACGTTGCTTTGGGTGCTCAAAAATGCAGTTGTTTGAGCCGATGTGTGAGAGCTCGCATTGTCGTGGTGAAGAGTGATCTGTTTTCTGCGGTTGTTTTTCCTGATTTCTTGGAAGACAATTGGCAAACAAATGGTTGTGTACTACTCAGAATTGACAGTTCTGCGCTGTTCTAGTGGTACGGTTGCGACATGTCTAGTTTTTCCGAAAAAACAGGCGACCATTTGCTTGGAAGTGCTTCGTGCGCGAACAACTTTTGTTGGATTTTGTTTCGAAGCACCGCGATCGTATTTTTTGAGCATTTCCTTCGACCAATCGACACGAGGCTTTTTTTGAGCGATTGACAAATTGTGTGGGATCCAACGCGATCAGATTTTTTTGACAGTCAAATATTCATGCAATATTGAATGTATGCTGCTTCCACTAAAACATAACACTTTGAGAAACATAACAAAAAATGAAATCGAAGAAGTTTGCTGCTATTATAAACAACGTAAACAAATTAAGCGTGTAAAATATTCAAATGGTAGTCTCAATGGGTCACGTAAAAGCAATTTCGACCTTAATACAAGGTTACCTCAGTTTTAACACCTCCGCCATAATTGGATGATTTTCAAGGAACTATTTATTACCTCATTTGACTAAATCAGCAATTATTAAGTCGCAGTTCAGTGATGTAAATCAGCACGAATTGTTTTTTTGTTGATTGAAACAGTAATTGAACGAAAATAAGTTATTTGTTGTTGTTATTCATAATAATTGGGATCTTTGTAGTGAATGTTGGATTTAGAATGCTGAGAAATTTCACAAATGAGAATGGAATGTGTTCTCGTAAAAGGGTATCTTTCGAATATTTGTTGAAGGGCATTTTTTGTGTTGAAGTCAATTTTTCCTACTGTTGTTTGGGTTTATAACCTTCCACAATCCGAAAAATGAACAAAGCTTAATCAATAGAGTATTTAACTTCGTTCATTTTTGAGATTGTGGAAAATTATACACATAAAAAACTGTGAGAAACGGTTTCTTTCAATTTTTGAAATTATTTTAATTTTATGACCCTTGCTATGTGTCAAAACAATGTTAGGAATCACACTTTAAAAGGTAAGACCTCGTTAGTTCTTAGCTCGCACACGTTTTTCAACTTCTGAGAGTTGTCATTCGTATGGGGGCGATAGGTGATTAATGAAAAAACATATTTTAAACAGATTTCAAGTTTTTGAGTGAACATTTTATTCCTTCAACTGACTGGAAGGGATAACTTTCAAAAAATAAGCAAACAAAAGAAAACAAAAGTCTACCAAAACAGAAGTCTACGAAACGGAGGTTTTTTATAATCGGGAGCTATGAAGATTAGCTTTATTTCTTTCCAACTGTCTAACTCTATATTTTTCTATCAAAGTTTTCACCTTTTGAACTGAACAAGACATCAACATCAGACAAAACTTATGTACAAAGGTATTATTTTTAGCTTTCGATTAAAAAAAATATAGTTCAGGGTCACTCGCAAGATGGCACTATATATTTTTTCAAATAAGGGGTCTATAAATGTTTCTATATAACCCTGGTAAGTAACTGAAAATCGACGCAAGGCATTTGGCTGTGTCACACAATCACTAATGACAAAGCTAAAGAAATACGAAGTAAGAGGTACCCCACACCAGTGGCTGTCAAGTTTCCAATACGTCGCTCTTTAAGACTTCCTCGGTACATAAGGTTACAATTGGAATTCCGCAAGGGTCGGTTTCAGAACCGATGATTTTTATTGTATACATGAATACAAATACGCCAAATAGTATGGCGTAGGGGCCACCAGAGTAGTAACCATGGCAATCAGAAAGTCCATGAAGAGGCAACTCGGAGCCTCAACCTGGAAAACGTTACCTGGAATGTAAGAAGAATGGACAGCAAGAATGAGGAGAGAAAAAGGATAAAAAGGTGTATAAGGGAAGAATGGCAGAGGGAGTGGGAAGAAGGAACGAATGGGCGACTGTTATACAGGTACTGTAGAACAGTCGGATTTGAATCCCTCAATCTGTCGAGGAACCCAGAAGCGAGTTATTCGTATTTCAGCATGGTATATCAAAAAGGTCATCTTACAGGTTTCATTTCAAGAATCTAAGGATTTTATCTTTACCGTCATTGGTTATTTTGAGTTCTGTTTGTATTTATTTAAAAATTAGAGTGATTCCGCTGAAATTAGTTGTTTTCATAGATTCGACACACGCCAAAAATGACTTTCATATTCCATTCAGTAAAACACAATTACATTATAATTCATATACAGATATGGCTCCTCAACTGTTCAATTTACTTCCGAAAGAGATAAAAAGTTCTGAAACAACTTACAGTTTCAAAAAACATTCAAAAGAATTTCTAGTGAACATACATGTTTCTATACCATAGATGAATTTTTCTGAAACTGATTTTTATTTAGGTCGGTTTTTTTGCACAATGTATTTGTTTGTTTGTTGAGTCCTAGTGTTTAGCTTTCTTAATTCTGCTTTCAGTTTGCCTCTTTAGACAAATCCTATACAAATCATCTAAAAGAACAATTCGTTCAGGCCAGTCTCATCTCCCTACATTGTAGGTTAATGGACTGACACCTATCAGAAAACAACTACTCCCCTGGCTAATACCACGAAGGGCGTTGAATTATATCCGACAGGTGTCAGTGCAGGATTCTTCACAGAAGTTATTCCGGCATATGCTGTTGGCGATACAACTGCCGCAATAGATTTTCAATTATTGGAACACACTTGCAGACCGGTTTCGGGCTGTTTAGCCATTCGTTAGTGCAAGGTAGTGTATATCATCAACATAAAGTCCATGATTTCCGATAATTGAAAATCAAATTCCTTCAGAGTATCATTCCTCGAACTGAGCTGAAGCATACAACAAACAACAGGTTTGTCGCTGCCCCATCTGCCTGTGAACGAGGTAACCAACTGCATATCCAAAATTTGCCCAATTCCTCATATAAAAGAACACTTTTCAACTTGAAATATTTGGGCTG